TGGAGAGACTATCTTTAGTCCATTGTATATTTTTGCCTCCTTTGTCAAATATTAATTGACTATAAAGGTGTGGATTTATTTCTGGACTCTCAATTCTACTCCATTGATTTATATGTCTGTTTTGTGCCAGTACCATGCTGTTTTGCTAAATTGTACACTTTAAATGGGTGAATTGTATGGTATGTGGATTATACCTCAATAAAGCTATTATTAAAAACTAGAGGCCCAACGTGTGATAGAAATTGCGCGAGGAGGCATCCTGCAGGCCACTGCGAGAGTCAGGTCTGACTGGAGCCATGGGCGGCCGGGTCCCGTGCCTGACTTCCACCCCAGGACCCTCCTGCCCCCTGCCTGTGTCCGCTCTGGGATGCTGGAGCCTCTGCGCCAGCTCGGGCAGGCCCCCCTGAGTCTGTCTCCGTCTCCACTCCAGGCCTCACCTGCACGCGCAACCTCCTCCTGTCTGGTCGTGACCCGTTACAGCGTCCCAGCCTAATTTGAATATCACCTCTTTATATGTATAGATACCAACAGAAGTGAGCTATAGATGCATAGTGGTTGTACCTTAGACATGGCCTGTGCTCTCCATCTGCTACAGTCCCCACCCCTGCCTATTACGTCCCAGCACTGAAGCTAAGCATCAGGTGGGTTTTTTTGTTGTTGTTTTTTATTTTTTCAGGTGACATTTCAGCATAGCACTCCCCAAGCATGTTCCTCACACCCTGCTTGTTTTTCTCACTTTACTTTGAACCTGTCCCACCTCAGAGGCAACTAATTTTGTGACCCAGTGGTAAGACAGTCACTGGATGCAAACAGATAAACAGACTTGCATAGAGTCATGGCTGGACATGTCCTGCAGAGACTGAGGTGACATATTTTGATTTCTGACTAGGCCACAAACTTACTATACAACCATGGGCAAGTACCCGGGCTGTATTTCTGAAAGGAGATTTAGGGAATAGGTCTCTGTGAAGGTTAATTCTGATTTTAGCCTTCCCTGGAATTAGAAAGCTTGTTCCATGCCCTTGCCAGTCTGTTGGGGCTCACCTCCGGGAACAGGGCAACACTGAAGGCCAATGTGGGCATCAGGACAGCAGGTGACTAACGGCCAGGATAAGGTCCTAACCTGTCCCCCCTCACTGTACTATCTGCACTACTCCCTCCACATGCCAAACACTGAATCAACCTGGCCCCTTTCGAGTTCAGGAAGAAGTTTCATTTGGTGCTGTATAATTGGGGCACTCCTTACACACCTGTCAGTCAGCCCTTAACAAAGGGAAAGCTGGTCTTAGGTTCAGAATATTCCAATGGCAAAAGAGCTGCAATTGATGACACTGCTTTGGTGTCATCACTGTATTTTTGTTTTTGGCTGCCTGCATTTATGTAAGTAAGAATTTCCTTTTAAAGAAAGTTAGGTTTTCATGATTGCATAACTCAATATACAGATATGCAGGTATTGAGAATATTGGTGTGTGTTTTTAATCCTTTCACTCTTTGCTATAACTGCAGGGCTATTTTTAACAAATGATTTAAACTACCAAAATGTTCTACATGGAGAAAATGGCTGAGTATAAAAGGCTGCACAGAAATAACCAGCCAGCCTACACAGCAACATGGGAAAACACTTAGGGATAAAAGTGTTTATAAAGGATAAAATAATTGAAAAAGTGGAATGCTAAATTCTTCTATGCCATGGACAAAGATGTCACATTTGTAGGAATAGGGAGAGGATTGAGAAAGAATGTGGAAAAAACATAAAAAGCTAATACATCTTTTAAAAGCAACTTTATGGTTGTTGTAGTGGTGCTTATGTTCTTATGATATTTTAATCCTAATAAAGATTTACTAAAAGGAAGCCATTAGCAAACTAATAGTGTGGGTAATTTGTGGAGATGAAATAAAAATCACAAAGGTAGCAGGCAAATGACTGAAGCTGCACAACAATGAATCAGAGAATCTAAAGACCTTGCAAACTACAGCTGACAGTGCCAACCTTTGAAATAATCAAATCAGGAAGCCTATGGCCACCCAATGATAGAGACGGGCCCCCACTCACCATGGCACTGCTCCTGGCCTCTTGGTAGGCCACCTTGACGATGTCAGTGGTGCTAGTGTTGAGGAAGAAGTAGCCGGAACCTTCTCTGATATGCAGCTCTGCCTGCAAGGAGGGTCAGTCTAAGAGGCCAGGACTGCCACGCCAATGGGCCACATCTAGGCGGCAAGGCAGCAGGAAAGGGGCTGTACCTGTACTCCAGGGTGGTTGTAGATGGTCACCTCTTCCGGACTCACCCTCACATCCTCTACCAAGATGAGGT